CCAGGTATCTACTTGGGAGAACAGCCCGGATGGTGTACCATTGCACCATCCAACCCTGTGCATACTTGTTGTGGCGAGATCTTCTTCGCGTATTCATATCATTCTCATAGCTAACCTGCTTGTGACCTTGGGAAACGTGTTGCGCGCTGGCACGACGTAAAATAATAAACAAATTACATTCTCATATTTTGTTTAATTCTTTGTTAGTATGTATGTGTTTATCGTCCTGTAAAGTCTATGACTGTATAAGGACATATCAGTCCTATCTGCCTACAGGCCGGGGTTACCTATGCCTCGGATAGTGTACTCCCTCCTATGCCGCACTCTTCAAGGTGCGAACTGGGTCAGAGAGGAGCCCAATGTACTAGAGAGTCTATGACTCAAGTACAATAAAACATCACATCACATCCCTCCTATGCCTTCTTCACGACTTATTTCTAGCAGTAATACCACCCACAGGTCTTCATCAGAGTACACACTAAGAGGAGCCGTTATTCCATCATTATCTCCGCTCTCCGGATTGGATGGTGCAATGGTACACCATCCGGGCTGTTCTCCCAAGTAGATACCTGGTAGCTTGAATACCTACCCCATTCGAGACAGGAGAAATCTGGTTCGAATCCAGTAAGACCCACACACCACACTCTCTCGCGGTGATATCGTACTTGTGGGATGATGAAAGCACACTCGGATAGCCATAGGCTTTTCACGCTTTTCCCTGTGGTGGGTATCCACGGAAGAGGTTATACGCCGTAAGGGTTAACCTCGAGTGGTATCTGCAAATGAAATCTGAGTATGAGTGTCCTAAACGTCAAATTGAGTATTCCTACTTAGTGTACATATCTTCCGATAAAGCCTGCATGGGCTTCAAGGCGCCAAATCAGGTAATATGAACTATATATTTATATAAATTAGTACTCACTGCAATGAATTAAATAAATAGTTAAGCTATACAATTTTATTTATCATTTTTTAACATCCGCATTAGTGTAGGGGCGAACATACTCCGCTTTCATTGAGTAGTCCGGAGAGCCCCGGGTTCGATTCCCGGACGCGGAATAATAGAGAAAACTATTTTTGGATTGCTAGTCGGTTATTTGACAACGATACAGGAGTCTCCTCCAAGTGCATGATTGAGTGAGGAATTGTATGGGTGTTACTGTTTAAGGGGCGATGTATGGCAGGCATAGGAGGAATTATACTACTGCTATAGGGGGGCTATTCTCAACACCTGTCAGCGGTGTCCCCTACGAAACCTCCAGCTCTTATTGTAGAGTCTGCAGAGCCGAGATTGAGTAACAAAGTCCTCACTTCGACCAGGATTCCCAATCGCTTTCGCGGTCTGTATCGTCTTCATCTCTCAACACATTCCCCTATCACCACTATCATGAAGCTAACCACGATCAGATCAGATGGTAGGGTCGGAGCCCTACTCGTCACCCACCCTTGATCATGGAGGAAAAGCCATCCGATGAGTTTCCGGAGCGTACCCAGCACCCGATACGGAGATGGTGGATTGGATCAAGTCGACCTCGACTGTTACAAAGAAGGGAGATATAGATGAATATGCGCACCTCATGTGGTCCTGGTGTCTAGGCCTCGCCTGGCTGGGACTGCAGGTTTTTTGAGACTTTTTCCCGCGCACGCAGTTTCCATTGCTACTATTTTTATTTTTTTTGGGTAGAAGGTTCCGTGGAAAAGGTGGCTGAATTCCACGGGTAAATACTGAGCTGAATGGCTATTCATCAGGGGGAATATATCAATGATCTTTCAAGTAACAAAAGAGGATAGGAGCCCTGTACAAGGTGTGGCCTGGGTCAGAGAGGAGCCCAATGTGCTAGATAGTCATAGATTCAAGTAGTACAATAAAACACACACACATACACAATTTTTTGAAATTCGAATTTTCGAATATTCACCCTTTCCCCCTCTCCCTCCCTCTCGCGCTCGTCGCATCCCTTCAATAAATTGTAATCGAGTCACTGGCATTTTCATCATGCCACCTGTTCGAAAAAAGCTCCCCAACTCAATGTTGGACAACGCGAGAGACCGCCCGAGGGCTCCTGCAAAAACACCTGGCCTCGCGCAAAAATTATCAAGCCTATTTGCGAGTGAGGCCTTTATCCCTGGGAAGTCTCCAAACCTTCCCGATCAAGAGATGACTGATTCTGACCCGATCAGAACAGAAACAAATGGTCAACAGACCGGGAAACCCGCCGAGCTGGCCCCCGAGGCAAGCAGTTCAAGGAAAGGAAAGGAAGTCGTCCGAGAGAAGACGACAGAACAAGCAGAAACATCTGCAAGAAAATTCACTGTGCCAACTCCGAAAGGCACAGCTTCGACATCAGCACCGGAATATCCTCCGGAGCTGCAATCAGTGATGGAGGCCGAGAAGCGTCGCACGACGCAAATCAAGGCACGTTTATCAATCTGTTCCACTGCAATAAGCAGTGTTGAAGCAGCACTCTCGCCTCTCTCGATTGGCGACGAAAAAGAGTTTGTAGACGGCATCAAAGTCTACCTTCGAGCGGCCATTGGCCAGTTCATACAATCAGGCCCAGGGAGCACTCCAGCTCTCCCTGCGCGCCCCATCAACCTTCCTCCGCCGAGGGCTCATGAAATTAGGGTACCTAACCCTACGACAACCCAGGCTCCGGCCCAAAAGACAACTTGGGCCACAGTAGCCCGTGCAGGTCTAGGCCGCAGCGCCGGGCCGTCGACTACAAAGGCAGCACCGCCCGCCCCAAAAGCAAAAAGTGCCAATCCGAGGACAAAAGTCGACACGAGACTTTTTCTACGCCTCAAAGCTAACCACCCTCACCGACTCCTGTCACCAGCTGGCGTAAGATTAGCTGTGTCACAGGTGCTTGGTACCGCTGCCGACAACATCACGTTGGTTCAGCGGGTCAAAACAGGCTTTGCACTGACAGCAAAGAACGAACTCGCTCGGAAAGAGCTGCTAGATTCCTCCATGTCACGGAGCGAATCTGGAATCAAACTGGAACCAGCGTCAAATCTGGTTGCCTTGCAAATTGCCACCGTACCGGTGACAATAAACACACTTGCAGGTCCCATCGAGATCACGGCAAAGATGGTTGCTGACGAAGTCGCGCGAGTGACGAAATCGGTTCCGTTTCTTGTCCGTCCGCACGGGTACTGCAAGCCTGGGGCGCCATACGAGAACTGGCAAGCCCTCTTTCCTCGCGAGTCCACGCCCCGACCTGGATTCCGCCTCTTCGACGATTCTGGAGCTGCGAAGCTCTCCCGACCTCGTCCACAACTCGAACAGTGCAAACGTTGTCTTGGCTATCACGCCAGCCGCGGATGCTCTCGCGCTCCAGCTTGCTGGAACTGCGGCTCAAAGATGCACTCGGAAGTGGAGTGCAAGGCCCTCACACGATGTCGCAATTGTGGGGGACTTCACCGATCGGACTCTCGGCACTGCCAAGCCAGACCCAGAAAAGATGGACCGGTGACCAAGGAACAGCTCGCAGCAATTCGCAGAGTCGAGCAAGAAAGATATGCAGACTTTGCCCGTGTCAAAGCTGCATACAAAAAAGACGAAGAGGCGAGGAACGCCTCTGCGAAGGACGTCTCCATGGCGGAGGGATCGGGTTTCGGAATTTTAGAAACCGAAGAAGAAGTTTGAGGACTCGGCAGTCCTTGGTGAAGTCTACGAAAACTTTCACAACAAAAAGCAGGAAACCAGCCGACAGCAAAGGTTACCTGAGAGCTCATCTTTCGCTCTCAGCGGAGATTAGGAAAAGTCACTTGGAAGATGTGACAGGGAAGGAAACGGGTGAGAAGCGCGGGATCTGGACCACATATGAAATTCTAAATTATTATTTATTTTTTTCAGTTTATTTCAGTTTTTTTGTTTGATTTACGCTTTGATTTTAGTCTTGATTTAAGTTATGTTGTTAACTTCATCTAATTTTGTTGAGGTTCCCGCGGTTGGAATGAGTTGGGCCTGTACGCAGAGATCCCCACCGGCTCCACCAGTCTTGTACCGATAGTGGACCTAGAGCTTTAGCTTAGGACTTTAAAATTAAAAACAAAAACAAAATAACACATACTACTGCTATAGGTATCCTTGGCCTGTAGGTAGAGAGAATCTGCATGTCCTACAGAGACACAGCCTCAAACAGGACAATAAAATGAAATTATACACAGGTTTAAGACTAATGTAGGTTATGCACTCCATTAAGAATGCATCTTCTTGGACCTGTTACACACAAGGTTATCCAAACTTTTATTTCCAAACTTTTATTTCATGTCTTTGTATTGAAAGGCTTTATTTCACTAGCCTCTTGTTTGAATTGGTAGCTTCTCTTCGATTGAGCGTGTCATCCACAGTGCAGGGACTTCGCTAACCTTCTCTGTATCGTTTCATATTGACCAAATGTCCAAAGGCATCAACGTCATTTTCAATACGGAACTAAGACCCGTGCTTCTAAATAAATAGGGAATTTGAAAGTAGATTTGGCAAGATCTAGTCAGTGTATGGAATCGTGAAGTACTGGGTAACACATCTTTAGCTACAGAACCGCTGGGATATTACAGGAGTGTATTCCTCAACATGTAGTTGAAATTTTGTGAATACAGGCAAAACCAAAGCTTCTCACCCGTGCTGTTCAAGTTCATTGATGAGCGAAGTAGATGCTAGTCACTAATAAAAGATGGAGCTCTTGAGCGAAGTCTCATCAGTTTATTAGCAGTGAGCAAACATCGCATCAGGATAGAGCTTCTCAGCAGCTGGAATGCTGCGGTGGATAGACCAGGACGGATGAGCAGGTGGCTAAATGAACTACACCCGACGTTTCACGCTAAACACAATATGATAAAGTGACAAAGGAAAATTAATCATCGGCCAGAGCTCCTGGAGCGTCTCTTCACGCCATGCATTTTTCAAAGCATTCCGTTGACTGCTGGTTTAAATCTCCTTTCGCGCCAGCGTTCCAGTCGCCTCGAGTCCATTCAGCCCAGACAACAGCATTGGTTCACTTGGCGGAAAATCCGGGGAAGCAGATTTCCAATGTCTTACTGTGTTTATTCGTGGCATGTTCAGAGAGACTAATGGTCGTCGAGTGGATGTTAGTAGCGCAAGCTGTATGTAGCAATAAAAAAGGGTCAGACGAGTGAAACACATACGCGGGTGCTCGAGTCGTCTTCAAAAAGGTAGACTTGCAGATATTACACTGGATATCTCTTGCCTGTTCGTTAACCTTCAGTTGGGATTTGGCCACCTTGACGTCTTTGTCCTTGCGATCCCGTTTGGAAGCTGCTTTGGCTCCCTGTGTACTCAATTAGTGTCACTCTTGAAGAGCGTTGGGTGAATGCAAAGTAGGATGATAAATTCCGTACGTTTCCCATCTCGGCGAGGTAACTTGAGTGGACGAGTTTTGCTGGTATTTGATCGCCTTCTTTCGCGACGCTGCGAGGATGTAGAAGCTAGCTTTTATACCTGTAGTAAATTTTGACCCCTTCACGATCCCCCCTCATGGGCACTCTGTCTTATGCTAATTAGGGTTAGGGCTAGAGAACTGTCCTCTCGTTCATGCCCCACCTTTGCTGGCCAATCAAGCGCTCGAATTCGCCAAGCTAACATAAGAGCATGAAGCAGGCTCCAAAAGCTCCGTGTCAGGATTTAATACAACCTTTCTTTAACGAAAGATCGCGCTTAAGTGAGCTACACTGCATGCACGATTCTGAGGCCTCATAGGCATTTATTCCTAGCTCGTCGATCAATTGCCCTGATTGGACGTATCCATTGCATCTTCGACCTTCGTTTCTTACGGCCTGTACAGCTAATTCTCCAGCATTCCTTACACACAAATGCTCATCGATGCAAAAGAAGCCAATACCAAGAGAGGCTTGATTGTTTCATGTGAAAGTTTAGACTTGAGGAAATATCTGATTTAAAATGGTTTGGTTCTAGAACGTGGAGGACCACAAATCTATCGAACAAATAACAGTAAATATCTTTTATTCCAAAATTTCGATTCAAAGGTTGTCATACCGTCGAGTTCCGACTGTTATTCACGCGACGAGTGCATTCAAGTAACTGTGAGCCGTCTGTTGGATAGAAATTGTGAGGGATATCGCGAATTTCAGTACTAAATTTGTATAACGCACAAAGGCCCATCACCCTATCTGGGAACTGATACCATCATTCCGAGGCGCGACGGAAACTCACTTATCCAATACTGTGAGACTTTCTGTTTTGCTATTCGTCCCTCACACATGTGACCCGCCAAATTCTTTTTCTATGCCTTTGCCATAGTTTGCTTCTCACAGTAGAAGGGTTTTTACGCCCCGGAAAAAGAAAAGTTATGCAATTACCAGTTCAATTCTCATGCTATGCTAAGTTCGATTTTTGCCTGGTATCATTAGGCTCAGCATGCACAAGGTTTTTACAATCCCAGCCTTCCATTTACGAAATATATATTAAATTGTAACATCAAGATAATTGATATCTAGGACATCGTATCAATTTAATCAGTCTTAAATTTTAATTGAAGCAGGAAATACTGTGAATAATAGTGATTCAGTGAAACAATATCGTGATAATTGACTTATGAACTCTCCGTTACAGCTAAGACTCGCATGTAATGGAACGTGTGCCCTAATAGATTTCGGTATGCACTTACTAAAATTGACTCCAATCAGTGACAGCTAACGAGTCGGCGCATGGACTGCATCAAATACTACACTTGAGCGTAAGCGCTTTTCCCATGCCAAAGTTGTATGCTTCGTTATCACAGCAGCAGGACACTAACTTCTAATTTCTTCAGCAGTGCTGAAGGTATTAGTCATCTTGATATTTTCTAGGCAATTCCCTTCATATATTTGCACAAAGATATTCCTGCAAATTTCAATCTAATTATTTGGAAGTGCTTGCTTAAAGTATCACGATGGGTACTGGTCACCTAAGTAGTTGCTTTCTGATTCTTGCAAAAAAGATAGGACCAGAAACAGGTTCACCCTGACTTTGAAGGCCCTTTAAATTAGATATTGGACAAGCTCGAGAGGATATTTAAAATTTCTCACTCGAGCATGGTCTTCGGGTTGAAATGTTGTCTGAAGAATGAAGTGTAACTAGGGAGTGATGACTTGTCTATGGACGTCGAACTTGAACTGCTAACTTTATTGGGTGGTTTTAAACTAATGAACACTATGCCCTGGTTGCGATGTGGATCTATCATTCATCAGAAATACTCCTTGAGTCTTTAGTCATCGCAGGTTGACGGTTTTGTAAAACTAAAAATGAAAAGAAACCCTTCTCGTGCCAGGCTGGTGCTCAGAGTCTACATTATGACCGTCCATAGATTGCAGTTTGAGTGTTGACATCTCAAATGGGTTGAAAGCAAAATAACAATAAGCTAATAAATCGCAAATCCTGCTATCCTTGATCGAGTTGTTATTGGACTAAACCAAAACGAGCACGGGAGAATTAGTGCGGCGCATGATTCGCTCAATTTCTTCAGCGCGCCAGCAATCGTGGCCGTGCTAGCTCCTAGAGTGTCGCAAGCCCACACGGACCTATCCGTCACGTCCAAAACAAAAATTATATACAATTTTTAGAACCATCAAGTTTGCCGCCAACACCTATGGTGCGAATCTGAATACTTCTATTATTATGGGGCTTCGATCTATTTCCTCGAAGTAATCGCACATATCTCTCTACTCCCTTGCCGCAACGCTACCCTAGGGCTCGCCCGCCAAGCTAATCGAGACTATCAACTAAACACATTCATTTTGTCGCGTTATCATGGCGTCTACAGTTACAGAATCTGACTTCAAGGATGCATTAAGTCGATATCCTTCGATTATCCAGAAAATCAGCAGGAAGCGTACGTATTGATTCATAAACCCCGAAAACGTATCTACATGAGGCGTGTTTTGATACGGTAAGCAGCCAAAGCGGGTAGCCTGACTCTCGAGGAGCTCGACAAGTTCCGATACGAAACGGCACTCACTCAATTCGATAAAAGCACGGGTCGAGTAATGGACATATCCGATCTCAAAAACTTAATTGAGTGGAAAATGTGAGTACTTAATTTTCGCGTTGAAGAGTTACTTTTGGCCCGTTCCCTTGCTTGACAAAACGCGATCTCATTGTATCCCCGACATCACACGTGAAACAAACATTTCACAGTCATTTCAAGAGACGCCTGCTTACTATTTTACTAGGCACCACGGCACATTTAGACCAACATTAGCAAAGCTTGTTAGTTCGAATTCAAATGAAAAGCTTGCGGCTGCAACCAAAGACGCCTATGAGTACTACGCAAACAATAAAGAAGATATCGCAGGGACTCTCGAAAGGCTTACAAAGCCACTAAGTGGTATTGGACCAGCTGCGGGCTCTCTCATGCTATCCATTCACGACTCGAAAAATGTCGTATTTTTTAGCGATGAGTTATACAGGTGGCTCTGCAATGACGGCTCTAAAGTTCCACTACGTTACACAGTTCAGGAGTTCGAAAAACTCTTTGAAAAAGCAAGTGATTTTATGGCGCGAATTAAATGTACCCCTGTCGAACTTGAGAAGGCTGCGTTCGTCTTCATTAACGAGTTAGACCCTCCTCCTGAGCCCAAGCCAAAAAAGGAGCCATCAGGCCTTCCTCGAGGCCGCCCAGCATTGCCCGAGAGCGAGAAGAAAGCCAAAAAACCTCCAAGTGGTCGGCCAAGAGGCAGGCCAGCATTACCAGAGAGCGAAAAGAAAGCCAAGAAGCCTCCAAGTGGTCGTCCTAGAGGAAGACCGGCACTGCCTGAGAGCGAGAGAAAGACTAAAAAAACTCCAACAGGTCGACCAAGAGGTCGCCCTGCAGGAGTTGCTACGAAACAGTCAGACAAGCAAGCCACTAGCGTAAGCTTAGATGGCGAGTCGACAAGGAAGCGAGGAAGACCACCAAAGAAAGATGCTTCCGAGACCGAAGAGGAAGAGGAAGAGGTAGAAGAAGACAATGATACTGATATAGACCGAAAGAGAAGTTTATCCGTTGAGTCCCCCATCAACAATAGAAATAAGATGGCCAAAACTAGAAATTCTTAACTTGGCACAATTTTGACCTACTAAAAAGGGCGTCTGGGGTTCGCGATTGGTTTCACTCGATGAGTTAATATTACGCTAGAACCTTAGTACTACATTGTACATGATTATTGCGGAGGGAATTCACCCTAAGCTTGAAGAAATAGTTCCAAAACGTGAGAAAAGATATCGTACCTGCATCATTATAAAATCAACCAGCCCTTACCTCGAGCACATAGTGACCCAATATTCTTGCGTAGAGATGACATTTATCGGAAGTTTTCTACCACGAGGTTATCTCTAATGTACAGAGTGAGAGATGAGTTGCATGTGGAAAAAGCTCTTCGTTTTCCAAAATTGTCTTGTGAAACTTACCGAGAGCGGTTGAAATACTCCGAGGTACAATTCCGTTTAGGCTGTCTATACGAGAAGTATCGGAATTGTAGATCTTTGATTTACCATAAAGCCTGATGCAGGGAAATATCACTACGGCTCTGTGGGTAGTTAGACTATAGGAAATTACAGAAACGACTGGCAACAGGCGAGTCTTGTTGATCAAGTTCAAAATACCCAGCCAGTCCATGTTCTAATCTCCCGATCTACCTATGTCTACTACCCATGCATCGCAAATATGTTGGGTTAGACTAATTATGATGGTACCAGATTACTTGGGGTAATTAATGGCAGATTCATTTCTCCAGAAAAGGTTGGTTATCACACTTTTTGTACACGTATGACCTAGAAAACATATAATAAATGATTTAAGGACCTACAAAAAATAGGCATAAAGATTTTTAGTTTAACATCTAGATTGGTGTGATCTACGATCTTTGAGTGCGAAATTTTAACTTGAATCTCGCATTTCTAGTATTCGAAGTGACTACTTTCGATTACTGATAGGAAAGCCGGCCATTCTAAATAATTTAACTCCAAATTATTCTACGGTTAGAAAATTAACATGACCTTGGAGTTATGACTGGAGATTTAGACTTTAGAGTCACTCGGATCAAGAACAATGCCTAACCCGTGTCTCGCCTACCCATTGCGCCAGGGAGGACGGTAGGTGAACAACTGTCCGTGATATCTTGTACAAACTTGAGGTTGAAATATTACCTCAGGGCTAGCGTCGAATCACGAAAATATACAGATGAGAAAGTTTTCTTTAAGGTAAAGATTGAAAGTAGTATCGCCGGCTAGTTTTTGATCAAAGCCCCCACCTCTAGAGATTATCAACTTCTATCATCTGTTGTAATCTAACGCTTTTCATCCGGGTTTTATGCCGGCAAAGACGAATTCTTTAGCTTCCAGTTGTGACGGTGTTGTCGCTCAGTATGCTCCGCATATCTGGGATAGCCATGAAGAATCGTATCCGAACCTAAGTCTAGAGCAACCTCAAGCATATATAAAATCGACGACTTCTCATTAACGTCGGACCTACTATTCTAACACGGGTCCCATACGTCAGTATTTCTACACCATCTCGCCTCAAATACTGATAATGGCGTTACTCCAACTGCAATCGGGCATTTGCCTCATCAAAAACCGGCCATCTCCCACTACAAAATTACGATGCTATGCATAGAAGGGCAAAACTGAACACCTTTACGCGGTGTCCTCTACGAACCTGGGAGTGAAATATTCTCCCAGAGCCAAGTTCAGTCAAATTTCGCAATATCAAAGAAAATGGCCCACGAGGCAAAAATCCAAATTACTTCTCCACGTCGTTTTTCCGCTCCCAACGAGTTTGACGCCTACCTAAGTCTTATCAAGTCTACAAGTACGACCTAGTACATCCTCATCCCAATGACTTCACCACTTTTTGACCTTCTCTGGTCTCAGTTGACCACCAAATGCACGCCCACGCCGATATTTATACCCGACGGAGGAAGCAAAGCGTGGAGCACAAATCTGGGAGATAGATCTTTGGGATGGACGTGAGAGGGATCAGGATAAGTTCATAAGATGATGCAAAGGAAAGATATAACCTCGAAGAGCGTGAAATTTCGAAATTTGGCAAAGAGTTTTTACAAATTGAGCTTTGCGCGCGCCAAGACTTCGCTTGCGAGAGTGCAGCTGACACTATAAAAACAAGCAAACGATGGAAGGTGTTGTGGTCCGCCTCCTGGTGGTGTTCTCTGGTATGGTTTGAGTAGCCTGGGCACCTACTCTACTTGGGAAGGAGACATCTCAGATCATATTTCGCGCGGAGAAAAGTTGATGGATGACGGAGGCATGTCTGGATAACTCAGGGTTTTTGAGACGTTCCCCTGGGTGGGTATTCACGGATGAGGGTTGACTTGGGGTGAAGAAAAAGCCACCATAACTTCGCAGTGGTACTTGCAAATGAAATCTGAGGCATGAGTACTCTTCCTTTATGTTGAATCATCTATTCTGTACTTTTCTTTGATATTGTGTCATAGCTAGATAGCTGCATACGCAATTAAAATCTAATGCAAAAAAAAAAAAAAAACTGAAGAGAGCCAGAAGGCCTGAAACAGACTTATCAAGTTATTGTGAGAGCTGTACAGCGAAGCCCTCACATAAAATACGTCTATTAGCGCGGTTTTGGCAGATTTCCGAGAGGAATCTGCTCTTCTCCAATGTAAAAGAAACTCATTTAGCACCACGGGAAGTGCCGAGAGGAGATGAGAGGTTACCCAAACTACGTTCGTGACCGATAGAGGCCAGTCTTTGTCGAACAAGTGGGCAAAAAACTAAATGGGTTACAAACAGGAGACCCCCACAGGAACAAGTCAAGAGGGCATTTTCATGAGGGAATCTTTTTTTTGCATTAGATTTTAATTGCGTATGCAGCTATCTAGCTATGACATCCGCAGGGGAACGTTTGAATAACCGTGAGTTATTCAGACATGCCTCCGTCATCCATTTACTTTTCTCCGCGCGAAATATGGTCTTAGATGTTTCCTTTCCAAGTGTAGTAGGTGCCCAGGCTACTCAAACCATACCAGAGAACATCACCTGGGGGGCGGACCACAACATCCTCCATCATCGACTTGTGTTTACAGTGTAAGCTGCACTCGTACCTTGGCTCATCATGGCAGATGAGAGGTGGCTGATCATCACTAGGTTTGACAGGCACATGAGACTGGTGAGCTACCACAACTTCGCAGTCGTTTCTGCAAATGAAATCCGAGGCACGAGTGCTCTTCCTTTAAATTGAGTCATCTATTGTTTACTTTTCTTTGATATTGCGTTGTAGCTAGATAGCTGCATACGCAATTAAAATCTGATGCAAAAAAATGGACTAGTGGGAATTTCTCCCTTTGATGTAAATATAAGTCCAATGTTCCCATAGTTGTAAAATATTAAGTCTTCTCTACTTCATCACATATATCTATATAATATTGTACAGTGTGTATTTTCCAACAGGAACTGAAGACAAAGTGGCACCCCCGTATTTTTACCCAATACAGTTTGCGAAATTGAAATTGAAATTGATTTAATTTGGCACCTTTAGGTCCATGCAGGTGTCAATGAACTCTAATATTTACATAGGAAACCTTTGTGGTAAAAACCCCCTCAAATTTTCAGTTTGCATAAACTTTTATGTTGCGTTAGCTTCAAGAAATGCACTAACATTGTTATGTCCAGTGCGGATACCGTCCACTTTATTACTACTGATAAAAGTTTGTCTTCCTTCTACTCTCTTCTCTCGCCCTCATCGTAGCCTCGACTTCAAGCATCAGCTGAAACTGCTCCATTTTCTCTTCATGTTGAATCCACTTTGTAATTCTTGCCACATCTTTCGGCCTATTCATCACTGCCTCAAATGACCGAGACTCTGCCTTTCTCAGTATCTCCCATCTCACTTTGGCCCAGTTGGAGCAAGCCATGATCATAAGCCTGACGTTCTGGGACGGATATCCACACTAGCATCGTGGATTATCTACTCCTGGAACTTTTATTCTGTACAGATAGGAATTGAACCCAATGTGTTCGCTTCTTATCTGCATGGCTATGCTGCTCTGGGCCCTGCCCAGGTATTTATGGATACTGGGAGGTGTTCCTCTTTGGCTCATTTCTGTCTTTCCCGTCTTATCATCTGTAAAGATATTTGCTGCTTTCCAGATTTTAGGGTCTGCTGTCGCTTGATGGTTAGTAGACTTTTTAGCTGTCAGTTTCATCCAGGATCGTTCCCATTCTTTAAAGGCCGCGACCTTTCCAGCCGCTTTCTGTCGTTGCTTCGTCTCTTTATTCCCACATATTTGGCCCCAATCCGCAATATCCAAGGTCATTCTGAGAGATCGTGCATCTTGCCTTCCAGCTCGGGGTGGCTTTCACTTCCTGCATGCCGAAGATTTTATCTTGAATCGGTAGGCTTTTCGGTAGTCCGGCGTGTTGAACCCTCCATAGTTTAAGATTGATTTCCATTGGTAAGGAAGAGGTCTCATGCTCAAGTACCTTGCTGCTGGTCGAATTGTATGCTCTCGTGACAATATTTAGGCACCTTCTTTGAATACTTAGGAGTAGCTTGATTACTCTTTCAGGGTATTTAGTCTGCCATTCTTGGCTCACAGACTGCGAATACTTTCTCACCTAAGAATGGTTACTGAGTTACAATGGATGCCATGGGTTGCGAATTGAGTAGTAGAAGTTGTACCCTGTGGGGCATAAGTTGCTCTGGTTACTATGATGTATACACAAATTGGACAGGGCATCTGGAAATGGTCGTATCTTGGCTTCCGTCTTCAACTAGCCTAGTCTCCTGTCCTTGTTTCTCTCGTCCTTAATTATAGATAGAGTTACGAGGTCATAGCATTGATTCTTGCCAACCTCGTCAGATTTTACTCAAGTCTCTCAGTAACCCTTTTTTTTGTATCATAACGTATTCATCTATGTAGCTATGACAATTAAGTTTCTATTTATTTACAATGAAGATGACACCATTTAACGCTCTAGATATTATTTCACACTATTACATGCCCAATGTTTACGTACCTATTTAGTCTCCTTTGTATGCTGACATACAATTGGTAGATTTCAAAAATTCTAGGAGGGCTTCTTCCCCCCTTTTGTTCTCAATAATATTTGTAATGAAAGTGGTTTTATTTCAGCAAATGCTGATTCCCTTTGCTACAGTAACCCTCATAACGCTACCTTTGGCACCCTCGAGATTGAGATTACGACTTGTAAATTATGTCGTCTCTTCTAACCTATTCTTCCGAATATACTAGCCAGGAGGGCATCTGAAAGACACAAGGTACTCGACAGCCCCGCACCCGTAATAACCTTTGGATGCAAGGCTACGCTCCTTCACGGCAGTCACTCTCGACCAAGAATTTTCTGACGCCCTTTTATGACCTTTGGTTTATCCTACGGCATGAATCAGAGGAGGACGAAGGAAGAGGCTAGGAAGGTTGAGAGACACTCTTAGGTATACACAGGTATCCAGCGCCTAGGTGGCCGTCCTCCTCTAACGCTGAAGAAGGGACACTATGTCTTCGGATTTAGTCCCACGATCGGTACTAGAAGAGTCCCGCGCCTAATGATTTTTATGACTTTTCCCTGCAGTTACACACCTGCAAATGGCCATAGTTTCGTTGGCTGGAGAGGGGAGATAATGACTGGATAACGGCTCCTCTTAGTGTGTACTCAAATGAAGACCTGTAGGGGTATAACTACTGGGAAGAAGTTGTGAAGGAGGGATAGGATGGAGTACACTACCCGAGTCATAGGTACTCCCGGCCTGTAGACAGAAAGGACCCACATGTCCTTTCACAGTCATAGACTCTACAGGACAATAAACACTGAGTGTCCCCACTTACAATATTTCTCCTGATCCAAAGAATCGATCAACTCAGACAAAACCATTATATATAGCAACCCAACTAAACTTTTGTATGTGTTTCGGAAAAAAATATATCCAGAGCAAATACCAATATATACCAGAAGCCTCAGGATGAATCTCAACCAGGAGGTGGCGAGGGGACTAGAAGAGATTCAGAGAGACGGAGAAGGGAACAGCTGGCAGAACAATTGTGACTTGAATGCAGTTTGAGAAAGGAGAGTGCTGACAGTTGCTTTGGTCAAGTGGCGTAAGTACTAGTTTGCAAAATAATCAGTCTGAAATAAGTCAATGGTCGAAGTTCCTACTTTTCGGTGAATGTATCCAAAAGAAGGCATGAAGTAGATGATGTCGAGTGGTAATTATTCTAATCTGATAGAAAGAGAAACTTTCAAGTATAGTTTGTTCATGTCGGTATGGCGAGCGTCTTGAGAGGATGAAGAAATCAAATTGTCGACCCGCAAATTTCCCATCAAAAGTTGCGTGCAAGGGACGCCCCAAAATCTAAAGTTTTTGAGGTATTATTCCCCCTTTTCTATTCATTGCCATCAATAGTCTATCACTGGGACTGAAGAATGGGAAATACAGCTTCTCCAAAGTCTAACACCTTTAAACCAAAAGCAAATCTGCTAAACTAGACAAAAGGTTTACGCAAGTGATAGGTCGTGGAAATTTGGAGGAAAGAACAACAGAGAAAGTAACACGGCTCCTCCAACGAATAATTTTCCCTAACCAAGAATCTCTTCTTTTATAGACAGGAGATATAAGTTTGATAAAATTTGGGAACTTATGGAATATCAATGCTGCCGGGAAGTTATGGTTTATTTTGTTTGTTGATATTCGAGGAGTAAAGTAGACGTGGGTGTTCTGTAGAATCGGTCAATCGATAGATTGTCATAGCCTATCGAAGATGGGGTAGTACCGAAAGAAGCAGACTACTATGCGCAGTTAGAGTCATTTTGGTCTCATAATCTGTGAGGAAATTTAAGGGATATTGCATTGAATTCATTGATTTTCTTATTATAACCATGAACTACTTATGCATGTTTTTAAGAGCCATCAATGTCTGAGCTCTACTCGACTCCATAGACTTTTTAACGATTAATGATATCAATGCCGCTACATCATCTATTACATCACTCAACCGTACCTTCCTGTCTACTGCTTGTATAAGTTAGGTAGTAATACCTTGTCATTGGTCTCTGTCGGGAATTCGATGTGACATAAAGAAAGCAAACCATGACAGCAGGAGGCCTGGTTTCCAATAATATATTTTCCCGGAGTCTTAGTTTAGTGAACATATAGTCCATGTCAGTGCTCAAGCTCCCAATTAATTGAAGTACATTCATATTCGTTGCATATTCATCGTACAGTCTGTACCATTCGAGGAGCTGCAAACAAATTTGTGACGCGGTAGAACATTTCCTCCATGGGAGGTAATGCGAATGCAGGGCCAATATCAAATACTTCAGATAATTGGTGCTTTGTGACGACAGGGTATTTCCTTGGCTCATCGGCAGAGCTATCTAATACTGTTGTTGTCGTAGCAGAATCATCAACCAGCTCTATTTCTTCAACTTCTTCATCATCTAAAGAGCCTATAGGTTGAGAGATAGGATCTTCACCACATCTATCAGACTGGAGATGCACCACTGACTGAGCCAAAGCTGTAATCGGATTCGTACCACTGCTAATGATTGTACGAATTTCTGCATTAGCATCGAGAGTTAGATAGCCTTCAGAACTTACCGCTGGCGATAATGCGGTGATTAGAGTGGGGAAAAATTCGGAAAGTTGGGGTTCACGAGTATCTTGATGGAATACCAAAAGTTCAGATCTGGCCCCAATTAGTTGGTCAGCTATCCCGGTAGGTAGTTTCGGAAGTGAAATTGCGAAAGTTTTGCTCTTTTGATCCACGGCTAGGTGCATCATCTCGCGCTTCTGGTCTACTGATAGATTTAAAATTGAAGACCTCAGCTTGTATGTGTGTCTAATTTCTTCAGAAACAATATCAAAAGAAACCAATTTATCAGAAAGGATGATTAAGTCTTGGCCGAGGAACTCTATTCCAAAAATTTCAGGTGCGTAGAGCTCAGCAAACGTTTTTTTAATTGATCCAGAATAGGAGTCGATCAGATTTATGAGACTGTTTTTGCTGCCTAAAGCTGCTGCAAGAACTGACCCATCCTCGCAAAATGACACGCATCCCGTAATTGGAAGTCGAGGTTCCTGGTCTTTGTTTTCTAAAAGATTGGTTTTACCAAGTTTGAAAGCTTGTGAACAGCCCCAATTCTTTAGCACCTTACTATCTTTTCCTCGAACTAGAACACCATCCCGCTTTCTAAGTCTCGTACTCCAGATCTTGACTGAGCCATCAACTCCTATGGTGGCAAACCGTGATGAGGATGGATCTGAAGCTAGATCTAGAATTCTTCCGGAATCGCTGGATACTTCGTCCGTTAGGTGCGGACTCTCAATCCGTGATACAAGCTCCCACGTATTTTTGCTGCTATTCCGTTTCCAGAACTTCAAAAAAACTTCACGCCGGTGGTTAATTTCTGTAGAGAGGCTCTTGACACCAGTTCCAAGGAATTCAAGATCATTTGCAGACGGAGTCCATTCATCGACGGTTGCTAGCCATTCGCCATCAGATGATATCTTTAAGTGAGTGACACGTGGCTCAGAAATATTGTGGGAATTCGGTGCAGCATTAACATTAGTTACGTTAGTTCGTGTCAACGCTTGATTTGAAACGCTTTGACCGGTGCCAAGATCAAATGTTTGAAGGTATGAGTTGCTCATGATAAGTGGATTAAAATCCCTGACTTCTTGCTGAGCTCCAACAGCAAGCAGGAGATGTGAAGGAGTTGCTAAGCTAACGGCTATGGGAGTTCGTTGAATAAGAGGGCTTAACCATGACTTACCTTCGGCCCTCAGAACATTGGATCCAGGAAATTTCGGGGGTTGAATTACGGATGCCTGAATGCCAGCAATCATCATTTTTGGTAGCAGATCTGCAGTGGATAGAACAATGGTCGAATTATCAGAAAGTTGAATGGCATAGGATGACCCGTTCGGTGAAATAGCTATATTTTCGATAGTAGCTGACATATGGGGAAGAAAGTCTTTTTTTCCAGACTCTAATTGCCATAAAACTAATACAGTTTCTTTCCCACCAGAAATTACATAGTTTCCTAAGGATTTATTAGAAGATTCATAGCAGTTTTAAGGGTATTCTTACCGTCAAGTGACCATTTTATCGAATTAACAGCTTGACGATGCCAATGAAGTTTGGGCGGTACCAGATTTGTTGTTGAGAGCAGTAGACCATTCTTAGGCTGACCGAATAGTTCTCCTGCTATGTCGTAATGGACAAAAATGACACCTTTAATGTTCCCCACTACAAGATCCACAACTGGTGTTTTCTGCAATCTATCTTTTCTCGTAACTTCTACTTCGTTTTGAAAAGAGACCTTGAGGTCGAGCGAAGTGATAAACTCATTAGATTCGAATGTGCGAAACTCAAACTTTATCCTATCAACTGTGTCAAATTCTGTCGATCTCAGTCGGCCGACCAATATTCGTTTTCTTGAAGCTCCTACAATAATAGATCCATCTCTCGTCGCTTTCAGAAACTGTATTGGCTCTTGAGAAGTGTAAATTGTTCTCGCAGCAATAGCGATGGTTCCATCTGGCTCCGCTAACTCATTTGCTGTGGTGCGAAAGCCACCTTCTTTTCGAGCTTCTGTGGTGAAGACTACATCTCTTTTTCGACCATGAGATTCCATTGACGCAACTGTCATGTGTATGCATCCAGTTGACGATACAGTCCAAAATGAGTCAGCTCCAGAACCATTTGTCCAGTTAACACGAAAGACAGAGCCATTTGAGCATGCCACCCAGATCATGTCTGTATTGCTTGGTGATAGACTTGTGGTTACAATTTGAGTAGAACTCAAGAGCGAAGAATCCAGTTTCAGCCGTATTGAACGGGCGAGGAGAGAATCTGCTGTGGTATATACCTGTATAGTAGTCCGAGTTGCAACAATAAGGTGCCTGACTTGTCACGTCAGTTCCTGTGGGTCAATATAAAGTCTCCTGTTTAAAATAAATTTCTCACCTTTCGTCTGGGGTAAATACAGGATCAGATGTAATCATACGGCCCCCAATGGATGTTGATAGTTTCCATGGTTGGGCTAGCTTTGACTTCGCAAAATTCGAGTGCGTTCCTTCAAAATTTGTAGATTTCTGAGGGACTTGTTGTACATTTGAGACTGTGCACTGATCTTGAGTGGCGGGTTGCGCATTGCTTCCGTTTGCTTGTTCTATTTCCAAATGTGAATTGGTAGATGGACGAGTATCGTTTTTCGGGGCCTCTTCACAATTTTTCCCTCTTTCAGATTTTGTTCGCTTCGCTGGACCCATAGCATCTATGGGGCCCTTCTTTCGCTTCATCTTTGAGGCCATTTGTAATTTATTCCACGGTTTGCTTTTGCGACAGAGATAAAGATTTTATCGAATATTTCTGCTCAAGGCTGAAAATATGCCTCGTCAAATATTACTATGGCCGAGCCGGCCCGAGCATATTGTTTGCGCAAGCTAGTAAGCCCTGGCTGGGATAGCAAGGCTGAACACCTGTCGGCGGAATCCACTGTGGACTTTAGAGTGATATATTCTCACAGCGCCATGCTCAATGAAAGTTCGCAATGCAGAAAAAGTCCGCCCTCGACGCAGTGATCAGATATCCCATATCATATTGAACCCCTACTCCCAAAAATTTGGTATCAAATTAAAGCCTCATCCAGTTTACATTTACGATTTGGTACATCCTTATTTCAATGGCCCCTTCTCTCATCGACTATTCTCTGGCCTCAGCTGGCCACCAAATGTACGCCCACGCTGATTTGTATGATTGCTTGGGAAAACAAACAGTGGCGCACAAATCAGTGAGGCAGATGATTGGGATGAAGGGGAGAGATATGACACTTAGGCAAGATGTAAGAAGAGATGGACAAGATTTTGGAAGGGGTTAGATTTCAGTTTTCGTGGGGTGGTTTCTCAATTTGAACATTTGTTTTTTTTTTTTGCATTAGATTTTAATTGCGTATGCAGCTATCTAGCTATGACACAATATCAAAGAATAGTACAGAATAGATGATTTAACGTAAAGGAAGAGCACTCATGCCTCAGATTTCATTTGCAAGTACCACTGCGAAGTTATGGTGGCTTTTTCTTCACCCCAAGTCAACCCTCATCCGTGAATACCCACCCAGGGGAACGTCTCAAAAACCCTGAGTTATCCAGACATGCCTCCGTCATCCATCAACTTTTCTCCGCGCGAAATATGATCTGAGATGTCTCCTTCCCAAGTAGAGTAGGTGCCCAGGCTACTCAAACCATACCAGAGAACACCACCAGGAGGCGGACCACAACACCTTCCATCGTTTGCTTGTTTTTATAGTGTCAGCTGCACTCTCGCAAGCGAAGTCTTGGCGCGCGCAAAGCTCAATTTGTAAAAACTCTTTGCCAAATTTCGAAATTTCACGCTCTTCGAGGTTATATCTTTCCTTTGCATCATCTTATGAACTTATCCTGATCCCTCTCACGTCCATCCCAAAGATCTATCTCCCAGATTTGTGCTCCACGCTTTGCTTCCTCCGTCGGGTATAAATATCGGCGTGGGCGTGCATTTGGTGGTCAACTGAGACCAGAGAAGGTCAAAAAGTGGTGAAGTCATTGGGATGAGGATGTACTAGGTCGTACTTGTAGACTTGATAAGACTTAGGTAGGCGTCAAACTCGTTGGGAGCGGAAAAACGACGTGGAGAAGTAATTTGGATTTTTGCCTCGTGGGCCATTTTCTTTGATATTGCGAAATTTGACTGAACTTGGCTCTGGGAGAATATTTCACTCCCAGGTTCGTAGAGGACACCGCGTAAAGGTGTTCAGTCTTGCCCTCCCAAATTTGAACATTGTATGCTACAAGAACTGATTTGTGAGAGTGCAGGCGACGTTATGAATACCTTAATAGTTGGGTGGTTTAGTGGCACCTCCTGGGCTGGCCTTCCAAGTAGAATCTGGATAGCTTGGAAACCTATCCCACTTGAGACAAGAGACCGCTTGTTTGAATCCAGCAAAACACAACCGCATTTCTTGACGTGCAGGTGCACATTGATAACAAAGGCATGCTTGAATGACCAGAGTTTTCGAAACTTCCATTTGGTGGATACTCACGGAGGAGGGTTGACTGTTATTGTAAGCATATTTCAGTGGTACTTGCAAATGAAATCCGAGGCATGAGTGCTCTATTTGTACATTGAGTCATCTTTTCTCTACTTTTTCTATGATATTGCGTCATAGCTAGAAAGTTGCATAAGCAATTAAAATCTGGTGCAATAAAATTGATGCCTAAAACTCGGTGCGGAAGTTCTAGAACCACGTAGCTCGGCCCTTCTTTAAACGCTGTACAAGCTCAAGATTTTCAGCGGAAGAGAGAGGGATGTCAGTTTATTGAACTATTTGAGTCTTAGAATATCTAGCACACTGAGCTCCTATCTGGACCAGTTCAGACCTTGTACATTGCTCCGATTCCTTTCTTTTGTCGATAATCTGGGGGTTGGTTTTGCAATGTAATGTTTTCTATCACTGTAAGCATCTTTTGCATGGTTATTATATCTTGATTCACTTATGCGTAGCCCTAGCACTGAGCACAGACCATTCATTCAACACTTATTAAAGTCAGGTGACATAAAACAAACTAAGTGTTGGTTCCTCTCAAGCTGATGGAATAGAATATAATAGAATGAAATTTAAGTCCCTACTGAGTCTATTAATATGAAGGACTCTAGCTGATGGAAATACGCTGGATATCTGGGCATGTGGGGATTCAAGGCAATGAGGAGGCCGATAAGCTGGCCAAATCAGCCTTGGGAGCTGTTACGGGCTGTGCCCGGATTGGGACTGGTCACTAGGACCAACTCGGCTAGATCTTTAAGCGCCAACGAAGCAGCGCTTACAGAGACGCGAAAGGTTGCAAGGGGAAGAATGCAAGGATACGCACAAATAGGTATCTAAGTGTCGCATAAGGATAATTGCAAGATTGCGCATGAGGAAGGACCCAAGGGAGTACGTACTAAGGGGGGGAGGATGTCACAGGAAAGAGGGTAGCCGGGGGAGGGCAAGACTGAACACCTGTACGCGGTGTCCTCTACGAACCTGGGAGTGAAATATTCTCCCAGAGCCAAGTTCAGTCAAATTTCGCAATATCAAAAAGTTGGCCTACGAGGCAAAAATTCAAATTACTCCACCATGTCAATCTTTCACTCCCAAAGAGTCCGATTCTCAACTAAGCTTCATCAAGTCTACAAGTACGACCTAGTACATCTTCGTTTCAATGACCACACCTCTCGTCGACTTTCTCTGGCCTCAGCCGGTCACCAAATACACGCCCACGCCGATATTTATACCCGACGGAGGAAGCAAAGCGTGGCGCACAAATCAGGGAGACAGTTCTTTGGGATGGACGTGAGAGGGATCAGGATAAGTTCATAAGATGATGCAAAGGAAAGATATAACCTCGAAGAGCGTGAAATTTCGAAATTTGGCAAAGAGTTTTTACAAATTGAGCTTTGCGCGCGCCAAGACTTCGCTTGCGAGAGTGCAGCTGACACTATAAAAACAAGCAAACGATGGAAGGTGTTGTGGTCCGCCTCCTGGTGGTGTTCTCTGGTATGGTTTGAGTAGCCTGGGCACCTACTCTACTTGGGAAGGAGACATCTCAGATCATATTTCGCGCGGAGAAAAGTTGATGGATGACGGAGGCATGTCTGGATAACTCAGGGTTTTTGAGACGTTCCCCTGGGTGGGTATTCAAGGATGAGGGTTGACTTGGGGTGAAGAAAAAGCCACCATAACTTCGCAGTGGTACTTGCAAATGAAATCCGAGGCATGAGTGCTCCTCTTGTAGATTGAGTCATCTTTTCTGTACTTTTCTTTGATATTGTGTCATAGCTAGATAGCTGCATACGCAATTAAAATCTGATGCAAAAAAAAAAAATAGAGGGTAGCCGGGGAGAATGGAGTATTCTCAGTTAGGCTAGGAGGGGAGCTTAAACGCGACGCTGAGGAGGACATAAAGGACAGGAGCCGTCGTAGGCAGATTAGCTTCCTAAGGAAAAATTATCAATTCCTATTGAGTTAACGTCTTTCAAGTACTTCTGCCACCATTCTTCCACGAGCTCTTGGCTGCGCTGTTTAACCCACCTCCCTAGTGCCGCATAGGTTAGATCTTGATCTTCTCCACTGGGTGCAGCTGAGGTTAGTGACAGGTTATTGGGAGCTCCTGTAAAGGGTTTTAAAGAATTCAGAAGTATCGACCGAAACGATACAAAGATCTGGACCTATTCATGCGTTGCAAAAGACCACCGGAACTAGCTTTACCAAGATGGGCGTACCATCGTCTTATTGCGGCAAGAACAGGCCATGGGGACTACGCCGACTACTGTCGACGTTTCAACCCCGAATATGAAGATCTGAAATGCGTTTGCGGCCGAGATAAAAGGCCCTGAAATTTTTCAGAGTGCCGATCTGCTTTGCCACGTTGGAGAATCTACGAGAAAATGGCCCCACCTGGGGCCAGGGGAAATGATAGGGGAGAAGGGATGGCAGAAGTTCATTCAATTCTTAACTACAAGCAGATGTTACAGTCTGCCGAAGAATGAACAGGTTGGTAGGTGACCACGCTGAGATTGTTTCTGACCCGAGAGGAGATGGGTGTGGAAGATAGGGATACGGCGCAGGGCACCGCAACTCAGACATATACTGTTCAATTTTTTTTCTTTTATTTTGTCGCTTCTGGCTTCACTGTCGGTCATGTAAGTAGCAATGAGCTTTCAGAGCCCATCTACCCGTGTCACGTCTAAATAGATGTTAGGTTCTCCCTGTCACGTAATGATTCCAAATTCAAATTCAAATCCACTCAAGTTGAATGTTGCAACCTCAGGCCGGTAGGCTCGGCAGACAATAATAGCTGACTAACCTGGAGAGGCCTGTGCGTCTCATCTAATTCGTAGAGGTTCGAAACACCCTTGATAGTAGTCATAATATATGCAATTATGTACACTCTATTTCCATTCCCCAGCACTAGTGCTTAAGTCCTGTCAACAATGAGAGCGAATAGATGATCTAGGCAATAATTCTATCAACATTTTTGTTACTTGAAAGATCATTGACATATTGCCCTTGGCGAACAGCCAATCAGCTCAGGACTTACTTGTAGAATTCGGCCACCTTTTCCACGAAACCTTCTACCCAAAAAAATAATAATAATGGTAGCAATGGAAACTTCGTGCGCGGGAAAAGTCTCCAAAAACCTGCAAGCCCAGCCAGGCGAGGCCTAGACATTGGGACAACGTGAGGTGCGCATATTCATCTATTTTTCCCTTCTTTGTAACATTCGAGGACATCTTG